AAGTCGACTCTAATTCGTTCGAATGGTTGGGCCGCTTTGATGAGCGTAGCGGGGTTTGTAAAATTGCGGTTTGACGGCAGCACAAGCCGTACATTTTGAGGTGATATCTTTGACAAATTTTTGGAAAGAACAAAGTAATACATGCGAGTAATTCCGTGATGACACAGGAACTCATGGATTTCTTTCAATTTATCTTCGCTGATCACGTTGGCGCATAGGTTACGCGATAAGGTGTTAGCCACCAGATTGTCTTTTTCAGGTCTGTAGATGACATCGTAGCTAAGGTCTGAGTTATATTTCCCATCACTGACTTGTATCGTTTCTTATCCTACTCTTCTGTGACACCGTACATGAAGGAAACCTACCGTTGATCCGTGATAATCGCGAAGTATTTCCATTTCCGGATAGACTCAACGATAGCATATTCCTTTTAATAACAGTGATCCTTTTCACTCGGTGTCAGTGTTCTGGTCGGCTGTTCTAACTCAGGTGCAGCAGCGCCTATTTCTGAGGCATCCGTCTCGACAACCAAGGGTGCACTCTATTCGACTCACAACCATAGCATCCTCTAATTGGTTAAATTTTCGTATAACTGTTGCACACGCTTCGACAGTAGGAAAGTTTTGTTTTTGACAAGCACTGGTTTCGTCAGAGAAGCATGGCATCCGTAATGAGTACTAAGCAATCATGCCAATAACTTGTTGGGATTCGGCGGTTTTTCGATGAGAGAGTTGAATGGGATGCATTCGTCTAGCATTTGCTTTGATAACTGCTTGGGAAACTTCATAGCCAAGAAGACCCATCTGTCTGGCTGTTATGGCGCTTTTGCAGTTACGGTTATGGCCATGTTCGCTCTGGGTAGTCCCGCAAATCGTGACGACAATGTAAGCGTCAGCGTCATTTAAGTTTTCAAACTTGTATATGTGGTCACTAGTACGTTGGAAGCATGCCACTCCGTTGGTTACACCTTAAGTGATAAGGCAGTCGTGTACAGTCTGTTTGTCGCATTAATTGTAACTAGATGTTAAGCACTCGATGGGTCTACGGTGCTGAACACAACGTAGCGGGAAATTTATCCAATCATTCTATCTGATCACGGTAACAGGCCTGGCGATAGACTTGCAATCAGGTCAGAGGTTGGCAAAAAGAGGTGATTCAGCCGTAGCAGCAGTTAGACCACGGAGGGTGAATGGACCTCGGTTCTCACAAGTGATTTCAACATTGCTATGTAGACCAAGGAAGTCGTGTCGTAACATCACGTCAGTATGTAGATTGGGCAACATCAATAGCCTAATTTTTTTCGTAAACAGTACCTCTGTAACCTATGGATTCGTTACAGTAGTCGCTAGCTGAACACGTGATGTGTCAGCATGCTGCTGCTGTGTACCACAACTTGTAGCACATGTAGCTGGTGTACTGTGAAAGCATTGAGGATGGTAACGTTTTTAATTGTGTACAGGCTGAAGTACCACTATACTGCTCAACCACAGATGGGAGACGACTAGGGTCCTCTACCAAAGTATTTTCCGCTCTAAGGCGTGGTTGTGTGGTAGTGATGGTTGAGATAGTTCCAACTGAAGGGCCTAAGGATCTAATCACTTGGACCGATTACAGACGCGTCAATATAGAATAGAATCATGCAAACTCACAAGATTTTGTTTCTCGATAAGGGGTTGCACAAGAATTATTTACAGAGGTTGGATCCAGAATAGGAGTGGCATAGTTCAGATCGTAATTATTGGCTCGAGATAAGCCAGCGATTAAAGCGGGTGATTCATGGTTCGAACCCAACTCCGGTATCTCGACTGCACCTGTGTGGGCTTCGGCAACCTGACAGTGTATCAGTCTTCATGCTTCCCTGGGTGATGTGACAGCTAGCCACCGGAAGGGTTTTACAGCTGAACAATCGTTTATTATACTGTTATTGGCGTCAGGTAACCAGCCACATTTAAGAACGTTTAGAATACAGCAGAAGTGTTGGGGGAAGTGGAATAACTCCCAAGTAATCAGTTTCAAGTCGCGGTTCGGGAGCAAGATCGGCGAAACACCAGGACAAGGTGGTTTCCAGCCAGGACTTTGTCAAGTTGTAGCACCCTTCTGGTGCCTAACTGCCATGCCACCCGAAGGTTGCACGATGGCTGGGATACTGCCAGGTTGCCGAAGGGCACAGGTGGGGTTCGAACCACGGACTTTCCGGTCAGGAAATTTGCGCTCTTACCACTTGGGTCATCTCGCCCCTAGCCTTCAACAAGATTCGAAATGAAGCAGCTGCGGCGGAATTGAATTGCAGTTTACGTAGTGACGAAGTCTGTGGAGCATTACAGCTGTTCAATAATTCGTATGTTCTCACCATAGGGAAAGTTCCCCTTTTTCCGTTCAGCTGAGTCTGCATTTTGTAGGCAGCAAGGAATTTTTATATTATCGGTTGTTTGCTTTGACCTGCTAAACACTATGCCTTTTGACTATCTTCTTGGGTCCTCATCGGACTGGTCCCCATATTTGCCATGTCCACTCCCATTGTAGTTGCAAAATTAAGCACCTTGCAAATTGACAAATTTTCATGTTAAGGGTCACTTGCAATCCTTTGAAAGCTGGGGCCTCAGATGTATCGCTCAATTCGTTGTGTGAACGCCAGAGGCACCTACTCAATTCTTTTGGTCGTTGTTGGAATAGAAAGCACGTATCATGCAGACAAATAGTCAGTACTGTCGTTTTGTCTCTGTAGCACCAAAATATCTCTAACATATTTAATGTACCGGTCAGTATGTGTTACTCGATAAACGCGCGTCTGTAAATTGATTTGGGCCTTGCGACCCTTCGGCGCTATCAATTCTCGATCTACACGTATCGTTTCTCCACATGTATACGGGAGAAACCATCAGCCATGGGCTCTTACCGAACATTCGGTGAACAGCAGGGGGCGTGCGCAATTGATGACCCATGGTTGTGCATCTAAGTGCGTCTGCCTAAATGATTGACTGATCAAAGCCGTGTTTGTCTTGGAAGTGCTACTCCCTTGGGAGCACACAGTTTGAACGCTATGCGGCTATGTTGATTTTTGTGTGGGGGTCGGAAAATGTACCCATCTTTTCCTTGAATGGTCTAGCTGTTGGCATCTTTTGATACTTCTGTAGTGTCTATCACACAATGGGTGTCTGTTGAACAGGTGGAAACCGGTCAGATGCTGTTGCTTGGTCGGATATTGCTCTAGGTGTCGAATCACCACTTCTATAGTGCAAGAACGAGATAGTTCATCGGCTAAAGCGCGACATTAATGATCAGACCGCCCTGTTTCGAGGCTGGGATAGGATCGTTCAGCTGTAGCACCCTTTCGGCGCCTAGCTGCCCAACTGTCCGAAGGAAACACGAGGGTTGGGATACCGCCAGGTTGGCCAAGCCTAGACAGGGGAAGTAGAGATGCGGAGGCCAGGCTCGAACTACGGACATTCAGGTCAGTAAATTCGCCCCCTGAACGCAGCCATCTCGTCCCATGTCAGCACGACAGTTATTTACTGAAGGTGTGTAACACTTGAACGGTTTTCCCACAATTCCGGAACGTCTCCAGTTTCGTTGTTTTGCGTAGGCTTTCATCCTATCTTTCTAAGTCTTCAAACGATACGCGGTTTACACGTGAAAGCGATGTCTTACCTGTGGCGCGCAGTGGGTTTGGCTTTTCTAAAAGTACCGGTCAAAGAGCCTGTTTGTTTCCAGTTTTTTATTCGATCGTTTTGCAGGGAGCACCCATTTTCGATTCCTTTGTACTGTAGCAGTTTCTATCGGTTGTCGAGTGGGGCGTTATCCAGTAGGTTGATCGATCGTCACTGATATGATTGTGCTATCGTTGGACTCTTCATTTCAAATATACGAAGATGGGGTTGACATCACAGGGCTTGCCTGCGTTGGTCAGACGTACGCAAATATGGCTAGCGCTGATCATCCTTGTATGTAAAGAATCCACCCTGTTTGGTCTAAAGCGCCTGCTTGCGTGAGTTCTACAATGTGTGTGGCAAGCCAAGTGAAGTAATCGCTGTGACCATTTGCATGCCCATTATTAGGCTCTTCGAACAATTACTATTACTTTATGACTGTTTTGTGGGGAAGTTTGTTCCAGGGCTAGCAGGCTTCTCCCTTGGTAGCACACCGGCTTTGGCAGTGCGAGTATTTTCGCGACCGCGTAATTCCACTGTTCCTATGAACGTTTTTTTCGGGAGCAGCACTGTTTTCCTCACATGTCTCACGCAACTTAGCCTGAGCGGGGGAACACATGGTTTCCTTTTTCGTAAACCTATTACAAGTAATTCATTAGTTTCCCTAGTCCTGTAGTTTAAAGTTACCTGCTGTCTCTCAAAATTAGTGGACGTGTTCGTCTGATTTCGAGTCGGTCCCGGATTCTTAGTCACTTCATTGTTGTCATGCCGCATGGTTTTGATTCCAACGTAACAACACTCCGCGCTACTTGTTGCTCTTGACCGTTGTAACTTGTCAGCCTAACTGGAAGTGAGGTTACACCCGCGAACTACACTCATTCTTACATCAATTTGCTCCTAACGGGAGACTTAGCTGAATGTCGTTTATGATATTCAAACTGAATGTGATGCATTAAGGGCAGCCTCGTGTTTCAATTGGTACTCTTGAAGGATCACTACTCAAAATTACTGAAACTATTCGACAGCTGAAGACCAGTTTCTCTCCTCTTGGTTCTCATCAGGTGGGCTCAGGCTTCGAGTTTCCGTCAACCTCATGTTCTACTTAAACCAAATTGTACGTCAGGTGGGCTCAGGCTTCGAGTTTCCGTCAACCTCATGTTCTACTTAAACCCAAATTGTACGAAGTTCGCGAAGTACACTCATGCACATCGGTTTGGTTCTAACGGATGACTCAGCCGAATCCCAGTTGAATTCCTCGTTTGCGATAGTCTTCACTTGAATATAACATTATCTAAGTTAGCTGTATCCGGTTAGTTCACGAACTTCATTTCCTGGGGGTTTTCCGTTTCAGAGTTCACCTACCCTGGGATGCAACAACCCGGCCAGACCGCTGGATATCCTCAGTTCCATTACCCGACTGCAAGCGGCGATCAGAGCGCCCAACTTCTTCAGGGCTATGCTATGCCACAACAGAGTAATGCTAACCCGGCTGGCATGTCTGGTGCTATGTTTGGAAGCCAGTCCGGCGCATCTTACAACTTCGACCAATCGAATGCGGGTTACTCTCAATCACCTTCGGTCCCCGTCTGCCAAGTGGGCGCAGGATCTCAAGTCCCAATGCAACCAGGTAATATCCAGTTTTTCTACTATTTTTTTCAGGTTTTGCCTACCCCGATTTTTCCGGATCATTCGGACAATACGCTGGCATGGGACAAAATGTTCCATCTGGCTTGGCCGCTATGCAGGCAGGTCTTAGTGGTGGTAAGTTTTTCAGCAGTAATAATTTCCTCCGCTATAGATATGCAACAATTCGGTCCGCTGATGACAAATGCTTTCGGTCAACCGATGTCGGCGAACGGAGCAATCCTCGAAGCCTTGGCTCACGAACAGGGTCTAGCGGGTAACCGTAATGTTAACCACCAACTCTGCTCTCCAAGGTTTCAACCCAATGGCATTTCTGCAAGATCCCACCGGAATGGCCTCGAGGAGTGGTGGAGCATCAAGAGGAGGGTATGTTGGGTCCTGAGTTTTTTTTTGACAGTTTGTTTTTACACGATCTTTTGAATCATGGGACAATTTTTCTGAGTGTCGGTGAGAAGCGTACTTGGTCCAATTTTCGGAAGAGTCCTGTTTCCGCAGTTTTGGTCACTAACTCCCGGTTTCACTGGTCCGTCACGCCATTTGTTTTATGGCGTATGTGTGAGTCTGTTTTTCCAAACGTTTACTTTTTTTTGCAGAAAATAGCCAAAACGGACCAGCATGTACTTTTTGTCGTGTCGTTTTTGTTTGATATCGCAATTTTTTCCAATTAACGAGGATTAGTGTTTTTCAGTCAAAGAGGTGGATTTAACAAGTATGGTGGTAAGTATTTTGGTGTCTTTTGTAATACATTTCCACTCCCTCAATGTTTTCCTTCTGACACTTGCTTCATGAATTCACCTGCTTCCTCTCACCTAGGCACAAGAACCAATTCCAACCTTCCCAGCGTCACCAATCGTAAGTTGTTCGTTTCTATGTTGATAATGTCGTATAGCGGATGGGCTTCGCGAGGACACTGTCTTTGTCAGCAACCTTCCTCAAACAATCGACCACGAAACAATGAAGACACAGTTTGGCGTTATTGGAAAGATAAAGGTACCTGGCCACTTTTCCGTTAACCTATTTCCTAGATCAACTCAAAGAGTGGCATGCCGATGGTCTGGATTTTCAAGGAGAAGGGCGTCCCAAAGGGAGAGGCCCTGGTTACCTATGAAGACCCGCAAAGTGTGCAGGCGGCTATTAAATACTTCGCTGGTCAGTTTCGTATCCAGCTTTCGATTGCTCTGTGAATTTTGGCTCCGCTGTTCATAACGTCAATGGTCGTTTTTCCTTGCGCTAGACACTTAGTCTCGTGGCTCTGATGGCGAATAAGCAGTTCAGGCGATGGGGTCGTTTATCTCATCTTGTGGGTTTTTGTCCAGAAAGGTACGCATAACACATTGGCAAATTGATTGCCGATACTGCTGATCACTGTCCGTGTTTGTAGGGTTAGAGCGCGAATTTACTGACCGGAAGGTCCGACTTCTGCATCTCGACTTCCCCTGTCTAGGCTTGGGCAACCTGGCAGTATCCCGGCCCTCGTGTCTCCCACGTGTGGCATGGCAGCTAAGCACCGAAAGGGTACTACAGCTGAACGATTTTATGTACGGCTCCGTTTTATAGTGCAATTATGCGTTTACATGGCACCTAGCTTAGAGTTTGGCAGTTGACTTAGCTAGTGAGTCGCCTGTTTTGTTTTTACGACAAAGGGAACGAATAATCCGTAGTTCAACGAAGGTTCAAAATAGCAGGCAAACTTTACCAAGCACTTACATCAAAACTGTGATCTTTTTGTCTGCATTGCTTACGTTTGGGCTCTTCGGAACATCCTGTCGCTTGGTCTGTCTTGAAGTACGCCATACTCAGCAATGTCGTAACTAATTGGACGACATTCTCAATGCTGTGTGCGTAGCTACCTGTTTTCACGCTATCCCCCATCAGGTGGAGTATGTCTTATGCGACCAGTTAACTGTCATTTTTGTTGGGCTCACTTGATTTTCATAGCAACACATTACATTATTCCGTCCTTATAAAGCACCATTCAGGAGCTCGCGAACAGTTTCTAACTCCAAGGTATTGTCTACTCTGTTTCTACCTTAATAAAAACAATGCCAAGTGGACTTAGTGATCGGAACTTTCGTGGTTCAATCCCAGTCCTGGCATCATGGATGCTCCTGTCTAGGCTTGGGCAACATCTCAGTCCCCGTGCTTCCTTCAGCTGACTTGGCAGGTGGCCGCCAAATGGACATCACGACTGAACGATTGTGTTATTTGTAATGCTGTTCGTGGGCCCTACACAGACTGGATTATTTGATAAATGCAATGTCAACGTTCCAGGAGAATTGTGCTCCGCTAGGCTCGTTAGTTTTTCCTGGAGCTGGGCACTTCTCAACAGACATTTTTCTGGATTTCTTGAATGATTTCTGGTCCTAACTATGATTAACAGCTTAAGCTCCTGCAGTTATAGAAACCAACTGCCATGTTTTTCCTTGACACGAAAGCCACCTTTGACACCGGATAGTTGGTCACCGGCGGTTTATGATACAAAGGTGTCCCCCATGAATCCTTAGCCCTTAGGGTTTTCGGTTACACAGACCACATAGCTCGTCTTGTGTCTAACCCCTCACAATTCAAATAATCTAAATGTCTCAGTTTGGTACGCATCTTACACTGGCAAGTTGTATGATGCCGGGTAGGTTCACACCCGAACATAATGTTTGTGAATAAATTGATTGAAGTAGTAGACAAATCTGCTACCTGGGTACCTGTCAGTCACTTTGGTCTAGCCAAATCGATATTTACACTCGGAATGACCAAAGCAGCTTTTATCAATATGATAGCTGCATGCTGAGGACGTCAAAAACTTTGTATTTGGCCATCGATGTCTTTGGAGGATTGCCCAAGTCTGGTGGCAACACCGGATCAGTAGTGCCGGCGAAAGTCGAATTGTTTTCGGAATAACTCGCCCACAGTAGATGGATTGACGACATTCCGGCTCAGCTACGTGCTCCTTATGCTAGTGAGAAAGTTCTGGACGACTTCAGCTGTTCCCCACTAAAGTTCTCATGCAGTTCCACTGTACACTGACCAGTCAAGTATAATCTAGTTTTTAAAACTCTGTGAATCCTGCTAAGCTGTGTTAATCCTGATAGTAGCCGCAGTGGCTGCCTCTCAAAGTCGTTCTGAAACCGGCTTTCAGCTGTTGCACTGTACACCATGAGTATTCATACTCCTGCCCCTTCATATACGTATGTAATGGCATCATTTGATAAGAATTTTCGGCCGTCAGCCTGCACGCTATTGTGTGGACTGGACATTCACCCAACCAGCGTAAACAGGTTTCCGCAAAGCGAACAGGTATTTGTGCTCGCACCCATCTAGTTTTTGGTTAACTCGGAACAAAACTTATTTGACGTTGGCTTATCGCCAGTGTATGGGTGCTGTGGGTTCACGAGTATAGTTGTTTTGTCGCGTTTCATAGAATTACTGACACCGAAACATCTGGAATCCCAGTGGTGACGAAACGACAGGCTTTATGCGTCACTTTTCAGGGAGGTTTCTCAAATCCAGTGGAGTATCTGCTGCTTGATGGCTTATTGAATCAGTTGCTGCCTCACGAGTAAGACAGGTGACACCATCTGTCTTTCGTTCACGCCAACAGAGCCGCCAAGTGCTAGAATGCCTCGTGATGCGTGTCAGGGACACATTAGCTTTTGATGGGCACCAAAGCTTAGTTGTTGAATTAATACGTTTGGAAACCTGTCGGCATCTAACCAGTTGCATATTTGTAAGCCACTGGTTGCTTTTGTGTAATATTTCCCATCGCACGAGTTGTATTGCATGGTACCACATTCTTACCCTCTTACCTAAACATTACAGTCCCACTGCTTAGGTGTATGTAGCACAATCTTGGAGTCCTGGGTAATAGAACGACTGTCTGCTTTTAATACCTGCAAGATGGAGACTCTACGAAGGACTTTGTTCATAGTATCGTAGTACAATGCGTTTTGGTTCTTACCCACTGGGATCCTCATTCGCACTTGGAAACACTGCGAGATACGATCATTAACGGTTATCGATGACGGTGCTGCCAGTTCCTGCCTGAGTGATCATTTCGGAGTTTGTTGTGAGTGTTGACGATAAACTAGTACTGAGATTCATTTATTTATACGTCACACTATTGCTGTCGGTGATGTAAAGAAGATTGTGGATCTGACGAACGCCGTTTATACTCTTATCTGGAGCACAACACTAGTGGTTCGGGACATTTTCTGTTGCTGTATCATCTTTCTCCAAGAGAAGTTCGAGTTCAATGATACTGGTAATTTGTTTCAAGCTCGGAAACAATTTGATTGTGCCCTATGCAAAGCCCCAAGCTGAGTCACTTCTTGGGGGCGGATGCAACCTGTTGGGTTGTGCTGACCGACTCGCCCCACACAACCATAGTAAGGTGATCCCATACCCGGTGGCGATCGCATAAGGCCTTGCGGTTTTTTGTGGGGTACCTGCTTCTCTCAATAATTGACACAAAATGAACCTGGTAATTTCGTAGGGTACATCTAGAGCGAAGTTTTCACAAATCTTAACTTCTTTTTTAACAGAGCATGAATTCCTTGGCAGGAAGATTGAGGTGAAGCAGGCTGTAAACAGCCAGCGTCCCGTAATTCTACCGCCTGGTGGTGGCGGACAAAACGCCGCGATGGGGAATACTGGTTTCGTGGGCTCCGGCACTCCCACTAATCCCGCAGCAGCTTTGGCCGCTGCTGCTGTAGCTGCCGCAGCTAGTGGCAATACTATGGCAAGTTTAATGAGCAACAGTGCGGCTGCTGCAGCTAGTTTGGCGGCATTCACGGGAGGCAGCTCTCAATTTGATGGAAAGGATTTCTCCGGCCGGGGTGGCGGCGCCGGATCTCGTGGTGGCCGTGGAGCCATGACTAATGGCCGCACTGGTGGATCAAATCAGGCTGGATCTAGGGAAGGAGACTGGAGTTGCGCACAATGTGGCAACATCAATTTTTCTTGGAGGGAACAGTGCAATCGGTGCCACGTAAGTTTCACTACTATTGTGTTGAATCTTGGTATTAGTTAACATTCTTTGTTTTATGTGGTACAGCGCACACTGATGTGTGGTTTCACTTGTTAGCTGACTTTTATGAAGCCTCTTATACCAACCACACGAAAACGCATACAGCGACAACAGGCTTTACCAGGAATACTAATCGTCGATCGAGAAGAACGTTAAATGTTTCTTATAACTTGTCCTGGTGCAAAGAACCTGATGCTGTTTAAGTTGATAAGCAGTCGACTTTGGCGTGCACAGCGCTAGTTGTTTTTTTATCAACGCTTACCACTAACTGGTTATCTCACTGCTACCCTTCGACTCACCATCCGTGCATTTTCTGTTGCCGTACTTGGGTTTAGGTACCGCGGTCACAAGACGTGCCTGTCGCTAATGATATGCCCGGCATGGGTAGAGGTGCCGTTGGTATGCCTCGTGGAGGTGGTCAGGGCTCGATTCCAGTTGTAAACGCTGCCGGTGCACAACCTCCCGGCATGCCTGGATTTGGTCGTGGTGGTCCTGTCGCCGTTGGTGGAATGCCCCTGACTGCTCGTGGTGGACGTGGTGGAGGACCCATGCGAGGCAGTAATGTCGGTGTTGGAAGAGCCCGCCCTGCGCCTTATTGACTTGTATGAATCTCACCTAACCCTGTATTCCGTTTGGACACGATATAGCACATGTTCGCTGCTATACTTGGTGCATTTCGCTGTCCTTTGGTATTGAACTTTTTAGTCTATTTGTCTTTTGTAATAATGACCGGCTTCCGAAGCTCTTTTAGACGCCATGGAATGTGAATCAGTCACCACCTGAGTGCTTGTTTTCCGTATTCTTATGTCTCATCGTTGTCCGTAGGTAGATACGGTTTTTTGTTGTGCATACTCCAAGGTGTTGTACAGATCAAGTTTGCAACGCGTATGCCTGTTGATCGCCCATCGTTCTGACCTTCCCCCCAGAGGCTCGTAGGGTTTTGCTGGTTCCTCATTTCGCAATACGTTGTCATGGATATCCAAGTTGGCATAGAAAATTGTCTGCCTTTGGCTTCGTTATACGCGTCTCTACGTTCGTAAATGCGCTGTTGGTCTCTACTTGGTCTGTTTGTTGTTTATACGTTGCACAGATTGAGTACTTCTGACCGAGTTAGTGAAGCTGGTTTTCGGTCGATGTCCATCGTTCAACCGGATTGTACTCAGCTTCACTGGACATCTTGCACTTAGCGAGATTTCACAGCGAAAATTCTCCCGTCGTCTGGTGTAACATGACAGTGACTCGGAGGTAGGTAACCGGCGGTTTGGACAGGTTTGTCCCTTACGGCATCCCACGTAAGCCTACCGGGGATGGCAATCTATTCTCTGGCATTCAGTTACATCAACATCACTGAGCTTCGCCTGAATACGCAAGTATGCAACGCCATCTGTCGAAAATTCATGCGGCAGGTCACTCCTACCGTGACTTTCAGGGATACGATATGCTCAACATCCTTAAAAGAGAACGACGGTGGTCCGCCGCTCTGTCGCAGTTCACTCCGTGCCCACGTTTGTTCGCGCTTTGCTGCGAATTTCCCGAGTATATCGGGGCATCTAAAAAGCCGAGGGTAAATTGTTCGTGGAAATTTCATTCTTTAGTCGGAAACACGAACATCGATTAAATAGGGAAGGTTTGGAAATGGCGTATGTCATCCACATTGGGTTCGGGAGGCACGTGTGGTTGCTCGTGATGTAGGAATAATGTTCCGTTTTGCAGTGCGTTGCGAACCGAGTTAACCGGTACGATACCGAACATCTGATATATCGTCGTTGTTTCTCGGGCCACAACTTCACAAATCACTAGTATGTGGTAGTCTTACGAATTCAATGTGTGGTTTCAAATTTTCGTATGCTCATTTATCTTGAACGACAAGATATTTCAGGGGGTGGGGTTAACCTCCGTTTATCGTGGGAGAGGATCCCAAAACAACCTTTTCAGAGAGACATCTGCACTTAAGTGCCTTGTCTTTCGCTGCAGGAAAGCTTTATTTCATACCTGGTAGTGTTGGTCGTTGTGCCAGACAGCTCGGATTCCTTATTTTGCATCAAGATGGGACAGAATTTAAGGCGTTCTTACTGTCTTCCTAAAACTGCGGCTGCTCAAGGTTGATGCCCGCCCGTAAAATAGGAAAATCCTGTGAGCATTGCATCGTCGGTGCGATAGTTTTTGATCTTTGGACCTTTTCCAGAGCATTATCAATTTCGTACATTTGTTTGATTGCTTCCACAAGATTCATACTGGTGCGCACCATATAGTTATTTAGGGTCTTGTCGGTTTTTTCGATTCGACAGACGATCCTCCTGTACATCCGAAATTCCTAACCAGACGCGCCTTTCTGGTTTGAACTGCCAAAATCACCTGAGAAACTATTCTGCTCCAACCAGTGATGAGATTATCTTTGTCTTCTGTCTACAGCAGCTTGTGCGCGCTCCTCAGTCTGACTGAAAAAGTATGGGTCTTACCGGTACCGCACGTCATCATCATCCACAGCATAACAGTGTTCAACACCGATGCTTCGCTATCGCACAAAGTGCCACACACACCGTACTCTTGAGCAACCGCATGCTTAGGATCAAAATGATAAGCTTTACACCATTTCGGTAACGCGTGTGTGTAAGGCACTACAGCCATACTCAAATGAAGCGGCCAAACATGTTTTTCCTCCAATTTATACTGCATCCATTCATCTCGAACCCACCTGCAGCGCTATGCAAAGCTCGGGCACTTGTTCCTTATCGACGCAGCCAGTGAACCACGGTGAACAAGTTCGTCAGGTCTGCAGTGGCAGTTTGTCACATGGTAAGTGCGTGGGGCGTGGTGATTGGTCTCAGTAGGGTCTGCTAATAGACGCCTTAGTCGTGTCGCCTATGAAGTAGTGGGATGTGTATGGAGGCTTTTTGTGGTCTTTTGGCACGGGGGCAAGATAGCCCCGTGGTTAGACCGCAGATTTGCTGACCGGAAGGTCTGTGGTTCGAACTCAACCTCTGCATCTCGGTTTCTGTCTAGGCTTGGGGAACCGGGCAGTGTCCCATCCCTCGTGCTTCCTTCTGATGGCGTGGCAGCTAGACACTGAAAGGGTGCTACAGATGAACAATTGTTATTTTTCGATACTGGGTGTTGTCTCATAAGTCTTCGTTCGAACCATCGTTCATCGAAGTTCCCCAGATGGTCTGCACTTCAGCATTCATTTTGCCATTTCTGTGAATCCTACAGGCTTCGTAGGCCAGGCACCCGGTTCCTTTTGTCCTCCTTTGCACCCCTCTACAGCGCTGCATGTTGGCTTTGCGGCTTGGAGGATCCATGGGAAGTTATCTTGGCAGGTCGTAATTAGGCATCCGTAGCACTTAGCCGAAACGCAGCAGTTTACGGTAACGAATGCCCGTGTCTCAGGTGTCCTGCACAATCATACTGGTTTTTGATTGCCTCATTGTGTCCAACAGCAACATCGGCTGTGAAAAATCGGCGAAAGCCCCGGGGATACCCAGCATCCTCAACGCAAAGTCCACCGGCAGCTGGATTAGTGCTTGAGGTTTAGTTGTACGACTTTTCGGTGCCACAACTGGACTTAATTGATGAACAAGATTCTGGGCTTTGTGTCTCGTACATCATCAGAGCAATTTCGCGAAATAATCAAACGATCGGACACAAGCTTTTTGGCATATCCTCANTCTTCCGAACTGTGTGTATCTGGGAAGTGGATGTATTGTAGTGGGTGGCAGGTGTTCCAAACAGTCTGTATGTGGGGTGCCGCTCTTGTTTGGACCTACGCGCACTGGGGGCAGAAACTCGTCGTCTTCGATGTCGTAAATCGGCCACAGTGATCTCGTCGAAAAGAGGTAAACGGTCCTAATTGTCGGGAGCGGCTCGAAGAGGGGGCTTCGAGCTGTGAAGAATTTTAAAGTCGCGCCGATGTGTGCCATAATCCGTTCACATTCACCATTCTTAAATGGTATGACAGCCTTAGGTCTGTGGAGCTCTGCGTTGGACGGTATTTGCACGAAGCGGAAACACTGCGGACTTTGCGTCTAAACTATCGATTTCAAATTGAGTGCTCACATGAACTGTAGTGAAGCTAAGTACTCGACATAACCTGTGGGGGGACATTCACCAAAAAGCGAACTCTAGGCAGTTTTTTGCGTTCGTTCGATAAGTATGGATACGCGGAAACAAGAAAAAATCACCTGCGGAAGAGATTGGCAGAAATAAGGTTATGGTACACAGGCTAATAGGCGTCAGGAGGTCCTAGTTCGTTTCCGCGTTTGGACTTTTTACCGGGCAGATGTACAGTGAAGTAGCCAGAACCCGTGGTATACCTCTCGCTGAACTCATACCCGTTAGTGTGGAAGTAGTTGATTACCGCGGGTCGAAGCACCGGAGATGTTTGGACTGGATCCGTTGAGGAACTTCCTCCACGGCCGGTGATCACTATGGCACACGAGCTGGGACAACATCCCGGAATCCGTGAGCTGTTCAATTTCGCTTCAACTTTTGTCAGCTGTAGCCGAAGTACCGTCAAAGCGCACGTTTTATCCAAGCCGTGTAAATCTATGTAGGCCGCAGCCTTTGAAGACGCTACAGCCGGCGCATCACCTTCCTGAAGCAACTGTCTCTCAAATTCTTTTGCTCTGTTGCTAATCAGAATTGTAGCCCGTTTGAGCAGTAGGGGACGCAGCTGGCAATGAAGGCTGTTGAGCTGCAAGAGTAAGAAGAGGATAGTGAATTAGCACAAAGTGAATTAACGGGTTGACCCACGTTTCTTAAGGAATTTAAGGTCTGATTCAGTGAGGTGTTTTATTAGTTGGACTATTTCGTCTATCTAACTGACGGTATGATGGTCGTCGAGTGTAGTCCGTAACATAAAGAGCCCAGGTTGTCGAATTCGAGGAATTCAACAAAAGACCTTGATTGTCGTTGGACCGTATCGTTTTGCCTCGGGTAAGCAGCCTTTTTACAATTAAAATGAACTCTGCCTTAACAGACAGAGAAGTACAGATTTTTTTTAGGTTACTAACTGTAGATGAGCTCTGCAGAGACAGGCAGGGTTTCTGCCGCTGTTACACCACAACCCTCTTCAAAACAAATGTAGAAGCTGTTGAGGAAACCTTCGGTTTGTGACTGGTAAACGCAAGAGAAACTAGTGCTGGTGGGGTATTGGGCTCAATCACCACGGTCTTGTAGGCTGGGCGATGGTCCTGCTGTATCTCATAAATACGCATATGAGACACGGGTACTCACAGTTGAAATGAGTAGATACGAAAATGAGTGAGCATTATCGGCAGTCCCGTCAGACACAGTTACGATCTATAGATGGTGAATGGGTCTTTTCGAGTACAAGATTCGGTCGCTGCTGACTACCTCAGAGCTCTGAATGATCTGGGGGGGGGGCGTGGGCACAGAACTGGCAACGATGTCCGCATGCGCTATGACGCATGGACTCACACAACTAGCCATAGCCGTCGTGTGGGATACCGTTTCGGTGTTTCGACCTAGTTGAGTCACTTGGGTGTTAGGTCTGGTGCTTGTAGGGTTAACATCGCAACCTTAAAACAATCCTCGGTTTCGTCGAGTGTGAAATTCAGGAGCGGTAGCATCAATCATCTGTATGGAGTCAGCAGATGAAAATTGCGGCCGAATTTGACTGCGGTTAGCCGTACTATGGTCTACTCTTCGCAAACGATTGCCAAAACTAAACGGAGAGGTGTCCTCAGATGGTTGTTAGTTGGTAATATTAGAACAAACCAGCTAGTTGTATCAAGTTGTTCCGGCAAACGATGGGTACGAGTGCACCGCAGTCATCGGTAGTTTCAACTACTCTACATAAATTGAGTCTCAGGCTGATATACTCGTTTCAATTTGTTAGCGAGATTATTTTGTCCCTGGCGGGTTAGGGTTAGGGTAGAATAATCCTACTTTTTCTGGGTGAAGGATACTCACCTGACTAGCCGAAACCCAGAGGCGATTTAGAGCAACGTTATCAGCTAATGACTGATTCCGGTTTGCGGCCCGCCAAGCAATCTTCCCAGTGCTTCACAGTGTTCATTTAAAGATCAAAGCGAACTGCCGTCATCCAGTTGTCAATTTCCATTTGTTTTAGTCAAGCATTGCAGGTAGACAATCGGAGAATTTCAAACAAAGGCAATCAGACACTACAATCAAGAGCCAAACCAATCACAATCAAGCGAATTTGAACAGCCAGCGCATGATTCGGAAGGGCGTCCAGAATGACTGCACACTAATAAAAACACTAGTTTTGCTTAATATGATTATAGTTTCTATGGTAAGCCGAAAGTTCTTGATCGGCTTCCTAGGTCACGACACAGGAACGGGAGATTCTAACATTCTGCAAAACTAATAGGCCATATCGATTGGCTCTATACTGCGTGAGTGCAGCGAACAACAATAGATTAACTCGATAAGTTGCCAGCGGGAGGGAGGGCAGCCGTTAGTGGGCTGGTGATGACCGATTTTCATTGTGCGATGTTTGATCTGTGTTGTGGAACGCAGGGAACAGCCCTAAATGCAGTATTCCCGAACTCATGGTGCTCTGTTTTGGGTTGGCGCTAAAGTTGGGCTTATTTGTGAGAATATCAGCTAGTAGAGACATCGAGAACGGGTTGTTGTTATGCTTGTTTCAAAGGTGCGTCACGTTGCACTGTACAAAAACTGACCTCGGATGCGTAATAGTCACTGATTCTCTTGTCCTTCTGGTGATAGAGTCGTTGGCGGATATTGCCAATACGCTGTCGCACTATCCCAACCTGTTCGTCAATTAGCTGAGGTGTTTCTTTGTAGGTATCGTCTGAGAAGGACTGTTGTAAGTCCTGCGGGTCCGTAGAGATTAGAGGGGATACCGGCTGGATTGCAAACCCATCTTTGGTCAGTTGGTTCACCAAACTCTCTTCATTTAGACTGGAAAAAATGTGCAAAATTTTCGTTACATAACCGCACTTCTGAACCCTGGTCGAGTGGAGGATTTCTCGTTCCAAAGAATCATTTAAAGCGATTTTGCATTACAACGTGGCTACAATAGATGGGCGTCGTTAGGGAAAACGAGAAAACTATATTTTCAGACTAATCTATCTTCGTTTTTTCTGGAGGGCAGGTTAGGCGTGATACATAGAGTGATGGACACTCAGCCACAAAAGTACTAGATCATAATCCCGATCTTCATTTACGCAGTCAAGTGATATCCGCTGATCAGGTTAGCAGGTCCAACTAGAAATCAGATTCAGAGTTTACAGGAATCCAACCAAGTGGCATAAAAAAAGTTGAGAAAAACGGGCGCGATCACCGTATGGTGGCGTCACGTTGACAGTTTTGATTACATTTGTGGTTCACTGCGCTCCACAACCTGCATACGTCCCTTCGCCTCTAACTGGCGTGACGGGCTTCGCCCTGCTTTTTTCGAACTATCCACAGATTCGGTATGGTAGAGCATAGCATACAGTATATTCCAGTGGATCTCAACAGCTTCAAAGGAAGAAACAAATTAGGCAAATGGCGTGAACCATTCTGTTGTCCAATTCAGATTCGCACTACCTGTTCAATCGCGACAATGGCTGACGATATCATGCGTTATGGTGTCTAATTAACCGGTTAATTCTCATTTCTCATGGGTTTCCGATTCAAGTGAAAAACACCAAACGTAAAAGGGACTCGACTTCTACCAAGATGTAGAGAAAGTGTTTGAATAGCACACCAGTTAGTGAACACTGAACTGAGAGACAAAATGTTTTGGGCTAAAACGCCCTTACATTCGATGCTTATCATTTTGGACGGAAGGTCCTGACTCCCGGGATCATCGACGGAGCTGTCAACCTTAGCGATCAAAGGAAATTCACATATCGATAGAGCAACCACAATGGAGCAGTACAGGTACGATTCGTATGTAGAGAAAATCATTTCACGTTAACCGTTTGGGGTGTATTCAGTTTGCAAAATTAGCGCATTAACAGTACCAGGCGCTTAATGTTTCGGAGGCGACGGCAGTGAGTGATAATTTTCAGCAAGAAAATCGGGGACTTTAATCCTGAGGAGTCACAAGAAGGGAGAAACCAGCCCTGGGCAAACTTATGATTAGTGTTCCTCCATTGCTACAAAGTACTGTAGACCCGCCGCCTTGCAGCTGGGGGGGGGGACGGCCAATGTGTAGTTCTGACCTTCACCCAACGGAGTACACTATCACAGGGAAAGTACAAAAGTACCAACGCTTATGAATGAACTTGTGACTGTTTTAACATAGGAACGGTATAGCGTCAATCATAACGTCATTGAAATAGTTAAACTAGGAGGGAGTGATTTGAAAATATAGTCAACCCGCTCTCAAAGGACGGTACCAATGTTCTGTTTCTTTGTCAATTTTACATCCATCGGTTGTAAATTCTGAAGTTGGCTTCCGGTCGAGTGTGGTAGCCGGAGTTTTTCTGTTGGATGAAACTGACTGCATTGATAAGATGAACATCTTGTCCGACGAATCTAAACTAAAAACAATGGAACCCGAGAAAGGCAAGACACAGACCATAGAAAAAGTCGTGTCCAAAATATTACAGCGTCTGCATCAAGCAGGGAGCGTTGATGTAGCACTCTTGAGTAACTGATACACCGACGCTTCGACTTTATGGCTTACCTAACCCTCAGGCCCATAAGTGATATGTTCTACTTTCCATACCATGTCTCGGCCAAACGGCATGCCAGTTTTCTGAAACCTGTCAGATCAGAAGTTTTATCACACTGACTTGAGGACACTTTTCAGCTCGCAGGATAAATGATAACCATTACCCGTTCTCTCTTGACGTCGTTATATACCAACTTAAAGTTTACGGGGCTAATAGACTATCTGTGGCTTGGTAGGGTACGGTAGGAAACATGTCGGCATCCTTATCTCAGGTTTGAGATTAACGTTGCTACTATGTACCCACAGCGTCCATTTCAGTTTAACTAATAAAATCTATCAACAAAAATAGAGTTGCAATGGGATCTCTCTTGGGTACACCTTTGACAGGCCTATTTACGGGTAAACTCGAACACAATCACCGGGCACTTCGCACTGCGCGGTCTCCGTATGAACCATATACTTTCCGTCTCACCGACGTCAGTCGAGTATAAAAGTTTCTCTTCAACCTAAGCACAATGGCCGCTTCAACTTTCTTGACGTCACTATGGTGAAAAAAAAACGATTTGCGATGAGTGTTGTCGATCACAGAGTCTTCTCATAATTCGACTATTGTAATCCAGAGCCCAGTATTCAACAGCAAGTTGTTTGACCTTTGAGCTTGTCTTGGACGACCAGCTATTCTGTTCCTACGACTTAGTCTGACTATCACATCACCCGCTTCACTCCATAACGCACTGACCTGTGCATCCTTTCCCTCCCACTTTTACATTTGTACCCATGATGTTATTAATCATACACTCGCCTTATATCTAGCCCCATATTAACTTGATATATTAGACAAGAAGAACAATAACTGATAACAAACTTGATTCGTTACTGTTGTTTTCATCATGATATCCATCGATGAACTCAAAGGAGAGAAACTGTATATGAAGTGGTGCGTAAAAATAATATGAGCGGAAAACAGTATATATACAGCAGATGGATTCATGCAATCCAAACTTAAAACTAAAACAAGGGCCATATCAGTAGCAGTGGCCTGTACATCCGAAGCCATGCCAGCATACCACCGTTGCGAATGCTCAACATGGCCAAATCTAATGTTAGCCATGGCAACTTAATCGACTGCGGAACAGATTCACAATACGGCACAGGCAGTCAATAATGTAGTGTGGGAGAAACGACTGTGTGCAAAGTTCGTGGTATTTGAACAAATGAGATACCGGTTGGCTGAATACAATAGCACAACGATATGTGCATGCTGTAGAGTGTAGGCAGTTGTCGGCATGTTTTACGGATGGTAATAGCGAAATGTACACAAGTACTCTTGCGTCATGGTTTTCATATCTAACATATAAGCCTTCCACTGAGAGACCATTCCATAAGTTACACTCTGCCTATCCTGTTACAATTCCAAGGCAGGTAGTAGACTACTAAAAATCCAGTTATCAAAACCAGCGCGTCCGAAATGTCGACTCAGTGATGGATGGCCACCTCCTTAGCTTCATAGTTAATTTGAAAACGGTTCATAAATTCTCGGAGTTATTGCGGGTCGGAAAAGTGGCGCAAGTACCATTTGCGCAGTGAAACAATGCACAAGTGAATCCGAGTCATCACTTTGGTACCAAATATTATGAAAATGTAGAACCATAACCCAACACTCGACATAAATACACAAAAATCGGAGACTTACTCAAACTTTATCAGTAGTGTCTCCAGTTGCTTTGCATCAATTCCAGGAAACTGTGATTTCAACCGGCAAAGAGAAAGCTGAACAGCCAATGGTTGAAGGTTCTGGTGAAGTAAAAAGCACGGGTGCGTACAAGGCACTAGGCTTCATGTTTGCTGGCTTGTAATCCAGTTACGAGAAAAAAGCGGATGTACTATTCAGTGGGCCTTGTAAAAACCAAAATCGTGTGAGCTGCGCTCACGGTGCAATTTTCTGAAATGACGCTGAAGATCCCAGTGTCTGACCATTTACGGACATAGTGTCTGTCAAAAATCACATTTATTAGTGGTGTTCTCCCAAAAGAATACAAAGTTGCTGTGGATAACTGAACTAGACAACGTAGGTTTCAGGTGAAACCAATATATGTTTTCGTGCATCCCAGTTCAACGCAAGTTTGACGTAAATCTGACGCCCGTGATTTGATTTCAACGCAGCGCTGTACCGACGCTTATCGTTAGACTGATACCTTGGCGCACTAGGTGAAAAAGCCACACGGATGCACTTGGCAGTACGGCAGCTTTGAAGTTCAAATGAGGTAGCTTACAACATGGTAAGCTTGGGTTCAAGTCGTGTATGGTTGATGAGTGTTAGAACGCATGTTTAAAATGCAAGAAACAAGGCTGGTCAACTGAGGAATATACTTGGGTGTTGGATTATCTCCAATCAATGATGTGATTGTCCTGAGAGCCAGTATTAATGTGCAATTAATAGGGATGAAGGGAAAATTACTTTGAATCTTGAAGGGGAATGTCCTTTCTCTCTCTTAAGAACGTTCGTGGTATCCATCCTCAACTGCAACTCAAACCTAATCCAATAAACGTAGCCGCATTCGACCAAGTTGCCAAATGAGCCAGAGTGGATTGCTGTTACCAGTAATAGAAGTCGTGTCTATTCACGTCAGAACTGCCACGCGGATCCATACATCTCAAAGAGTATATCCACCAAGCTATCAAGTTGGAGAGTTGGGATGAGACAAGCTGGATGAGTAGTCCGTCAAATGCTCTCAGATCAGCTTCGCAAAATGTGCATGCAAATAAACTTTGAACTGAACCACCTGTCGATTCATAAAGTCTGACCTTTGCTCTCATTTCTCACTTAGACAATCTGAAATAGCACACAGTAAAGAAAAGTGGCTTTTACCGAAGGCCGAAGTTTGTTGTACTAACGGCACAAACTGGCCTGTCAAGGATAGAGCACATACCGACTCCTGAGTTAGAAAGCAGCTTTTGACAGCAGAAGATAGGGATGGAAACTTGTTGTGCCAAGCCAGCGCCGCACTCGAGAAAACCTCACGGTTGCATTTAGACGTGCCTAATGGTTTTCGGAAGATAAATATTGTCACGGACCACACAATTAACATGTCAGAGTACCGCTCGGGACATATACACAGAGCCACACTTCCCTGAGTTATGAATGGACAGAACAACACCACAAGCCCAATCAGCAATCGCCGTCTTATTCCTAATCGGATTCCGGTATGAAATATATCAATGGATTCAGTCAAAGCTGCTGAGAGAAAGCCCAAGAACTCGAAACACGTCGTGAGGTGCTTCTTCTAGCACAGGGACACAGACTAACTTCTCACCAGCATGTCAATTATAGACAAGGAGGGTGCGGAGATTCCCATTGTCAATAACGGTTCCGTTCATGATTCGAAGAAGCTGAGTCATTCCTGGTATTCAAGGATGACAGTTAAGAAGGTTCTTAAATTAGTTAGCGCTTATTCGGGCGGAAAAAGCCACATTAAAAATATTTAAGACGGGGAAAGCATAGAAAGTACAACCAGAAATTCTTTCAGTGAGCTGTCGCTGACGCTTACTCGCGCAAACTGCAAGGTTAATACCAAAAGCACGACTGAAAATTTGCTAATGAATTATCTACTCACTGGATGCAGCACTGAATGGTGATAGGCAGAAAACAGCCTAGTTAAAACTGAAAGGTTAGAGTCAATTACACAGACAACGAATAAGTATCCGACTAGCGAATATACACTCATTTGCAAAATAATTTGGTTCTTTCGAGAGACTCACCTGGAACCCAGCTGAATCTCTCGTTTATGATGTTCTTAGGCAACTGAATGTGCTGCACCAGTCGCTACCTGATGAGCCCCAAGAAGGGCGAAACCGGTCGTGGGCTGTCGATGGATTTTCAGCAACCTTATGAGTAGTACATTACAAAGTATCCGACTACTTCTATGTGTGGGCAGTTCAATCCGGACTGGTGCTTCCTTATGACTGACCGTACAGAGAAGCAGCTCTCGCCGCACTGATGGAATACACACAAGTGGAGTCACATTTCCACTGCGACGAATAAAACCCTGGAGGGATCTTTTAACATGAGGACTCGTGAGCGATTGGTTGGACAATTTTTTTCTGTTCTCAACGTCCTGAAAATCATACTTCATTTGTCGATGCAGATTGGCAGAGAAATCAACTACTCATTAATATGAATGGCCGGATTTAATGTGTGAGTTTCACGAGATCGAAGTTGCACTGTTCATGCAAAAGGGCATTCACCGGTTCGCCCTTGGTGGGAGAAATCTGCAACCGCATTGACGCTGTGTCATTACCAATCAAGCTCCGCTTTTTACCAGTTGCGATGACTGACCTTTGGGCAAGGGATGCCGGAGTCACTTAACCGTCTTATAGCACGAGTAAGAACAATGTGACAACGGCACGTTCAATGTTACAGTACATGAGGCATTTGCGGTAATTCTTTGAGATTTTTGTGGTGCTTCACTGTATTTCAAACTGTCGGGTCACCGCAGTGTCACCGCATGCCCGTCGAGAAGATAGTAATGTTGTCGACCTTCCAACGACCAGCTGAAATTGGCATGAGCATCGTACGTTTCAGTATTAGATAGTATTAGATAGTAATGTTGTCGACCTTCCAACGACCAGCTGAAATTGGCATGAGCATCGTTCGTTTTAGTATTAGACGGATGAATTAAGGGCTGAGGAGTACTAAGACGAAATATAAATGGACGTCAAACCTTATAATCACGTTAGCCCGCAACGAAGGTAGTGAATGAGTCCTTTCGGACGTTTAATACCAGACATTTTTTATCTGCTGGCTATATGTAAACATAATTGCTACCTCACTTGCTTCTGGTGTACAGAGGCTCGGTGAGCCAGGCCCAAATGTTGAGCTGAACATTTATCTTCAACTTCTGTTACAGTTCTTCCGCTTACCGAGCAGTAAACTATTAGCCCTTGGCTGCGAATTAGCCACAGGATGAGAGTTTTACCGCCTAAGATGTTTTCACCGCAGAATTCTTTTTTCTAAAACACTACAGTACGAAATGTGTGGTGCACCAAATGGAATGAGTGCCAGAGACGACATGTTTGGATCACGAACACTGAGAGTGATTCACTCTCGATGCAATTCAAACAATAATGCTGGTCAGAGTCGGAAAACGTGTGTGGAAAAACATCTACACACCTTTGTTGGAAAAATTTTGACCTTACATAGTGCCTTCATGTGGCCTTTGGACGAGACTTACTGGGCGCTGGTCTTCGACAGAACGACGTACAGCTTCCTCCTCATCCTGTATTTCCTTCAAACTAAGGTCCTCGTTTTGAACGTTTGGTGATCCCGAGATAGTGGTGTGTTTGGAGTCCAAACTTCCTTCTGACTTAGAAGGACTAGTACGCAATTGCTGGTAGGTTTCTAGCAAATCGCGTTCGGTCAGGATTTCACTGAAACTGAACAAACGAAAAAGTAGTGTAACCCAAGCATGTGTCCTGTCTATACCTAACACCAAGTGTGATGCAAATAAGATAGAAAATGTAATATAGAGTATATACGTACCACACCACACACCATTCCTCGTTCTCCCTACCCCCCTCCACCCTAGAAAAGCAACAAAAGATACCTCTTAAGAGAATTGGGTTTGATCCTCGTTTTTTTACAGACCGGTACACGGGGTTTTCATGATCACCCACGAAAATCTGTGTCCACCAAATTCACCTGACCACATTCCACATTTCGATAGAATATTTTTGTTGAGGTGTGTTCACATCCAATTTGCTCCCTTCATACACAGAAGGAAAGCACGCAACGTGGGTACAATAGAAGACAGCAATACTGGACGCAACCATATTGGTTGCCTTCGACAGGTGATCTGAAAAATGCAATATACTTCAATTGTTTCTGTACACAGACGAAATTGATGTGATTCGATCAGCACTAACGGAATCAATACACGTCAAGACTTGTGAGCTCGTGTTGTGTAAGGAAATTGTGGGGTCAAATCAAAGATTTACCTTTGGGAATGGTGTGACAGTTGACGGGTTATGTGTTGATCTTTGACCAGAAGCTGTTGTCCTGACAAAAATCCGAACATGAACCTCAGGATATGTCCACTCTCTGAGGGCATATTTGTTTAGTAAGTTGAAACGTACCCAGCATTTCCAGAAAACGAGATGAGTACGAGACACGTAAGTGCAGAAAACCCGCTAAGGATCGGTAATAGATGCAACCTGGCCGTTATTCAACCGGTTTAGATTTTTTCCATCCCATTTTGAGGCTGACGTGATTACTTCTGAAGTTTTGGAGCATATAGATATCCTTCTTGCCCTCTAGCAAAGTCGAAGATGGTGTGTTCCGTACTCAGCTGTAAGAATCCATTCGATGCGCTAGGTAACCCAGCAAGGTCTTACGTTTATGTTTCCATTTCAACCAAACAAGACTGTTGCGCCCACCTGATGAGCCCTAAGAAGGGCGAAACCGGTCGTAGGCTGTCGAAGAGATTTCAGCAGCCTTGTGAGTAGTGTATTACGTCTACACGTGTATCGCGATATCTCGAATACCACACCAAAAGAAACATGAGTCGACTGGTGCAGCACATCCAGTTGCTTAAAAACATCATAAGCGAGAAATTCAGCTGGGTTCCAGATGAGTCTCCTGTCAAAACCAAATTCGTATGCAATTGAGTGTATTTCGTAACTTTCTAGTTCTGCAGAATTGAGTTTTATGGGTTCATATTAACAACTCGATACAGCATCTTCCTAGAGTCCTTTGTGCAAGCCATCCTATCGTCAGTAAAACTAAAAGGGAGAAATGAAGAATGAAGCACGAAGAACGAGGTCGCGCGATTGGAAAACCAGTGGTATTGTATACCGGCCATACACATCTTCAGGGCCGATCATTCTAGTCCTATTCCCAATGGGGTTCGAATCCGCCCGATATTCTGAAGATTCCCGCTAGCAGTAGAACAACTGCACCGTAATTTCTTTCCCAAGGCAAGTTTTGCATGAATCGTGGCTCAGCGGTTAGGGTTCAGACCCAGTGATCGAAACCAGGTATCTCGACTGCTCATGCCTAGCCCCGAGCAACCTAGGAGTATCTCAGCCCTTATTCTTACTTCAGGTGGCAGTCACGCACCGAGAGTTGTAGGTGAACGGTCGATTCGTTTGTTTAACTATCCACATTCACTTCATCGTTCAAGTACACCAGAGCCTTGAGATCAAACCTGATGTAGTTTTTTTGGGTAGACAATATATAAACGTGTAACTAGACACCTTTAAAACTCGTAGGTTAGACTTGACAAGCATTGTCATCAGGTGGGTCAGATTGATGACACCAGGTTTGTCCTTAGTTTGCAATATCACTTTCATAAACCCTAGGGCTCTTTGGTCTGACAACACAATTGTATACAGCAACCTGTAGTCACTCCACACAACTACTTCGGAAGACCTTGTAGTTAGTGCGTTGATCAGTGACTGGATGACGTTTATTGAATGGTATTGATTCTGACGTATCGACGGGCTGCTGATCCACATCCAAGGTGGAGGCTATAACAGAAAGGTTGTCGGTTAGCAGTGTTTTGATTAAGACCCTACACCAACGTAGGACAGAGGTGCAAGACTACGATGTGTTGCAAACTACCCATGAGACGGTTTTTCAGATTCCCTGAAACTTCGAAGGAACGACTTCCACCAGAGTGAGGACAATGACCAGCTGAGCAGTGTGGCTGAGCTTAGAAAGACAACACAACTTCGTTAATTAACACTACTCGTCCCAGTTGCTACTCCTAAGTCTGTCTGTGACAATCAAAAGCCAGATACAGGTAGTGCTAATAACATGTGGCTCAAACACAGCATTCGTTAAGCCGCAAGAAATGAAGCCTTGAGTACGCAATCGGGAGTCTATTGGACTTTAGATTACCTAAGGATGCTGTGTACTGGAGGTCCACTAATTATTGGTCTGAGTTACGAAGCGAGAGGTTGACACGTCCGTTACATGAAGCATTTCATACAAAACTGATGAAAAGTTTTCGACAGCCTCCTATAGGTTTCGCTATGTTTTGATGAATCTTTCCGTACTAAAAGTTAAGGTCACGAATCGATGTCGATGGCACCGGTGCTGCTAACTTCTATCCACCGATTGTTTACCAAACGTCTCCGAAACGAATCTATCTAGATTATGTGTGGCTGTGTTGGGTTGTGAGTAAGTTGAAGAATCGTGATAACCTGCATTTGGTTCCTTTCTCCCCTTCTCTTTGTGCTTTTGTATAAATGGATGACTTAGAAGTTGAGCGCCAGTGTTCTCACACTTGTGTTTGGTTGCGCGAAAATGGTGTAAAGCTAATTGTTTGTACTATTGTTTCAGGCAAGTTTAACGCACCAGAAAAGGAATATCCACCACTTTTCCAAAGTTCTATTAAAAGTGGCGTTGCTAAAAGCATCGTAGTTGAAATGACGGGAGAATTGGTTGCATATAGACAGTTGAGAACCGCTACACTATTCGACCACTGTCCAGCTTATATCAGGAAAGGCTCCTGTACATGTTTGTGGAAATCTCGAGTTTGAACAGCTCTCTGGAGAGCCGCTATTCAAGAGGGCTAAGAAATTGGGGCCCAAAACTGCTGGCAGGAAGGTCCTTGGTTTGAGCTTAAACACGGATTGTCGATTGTTTTCTTCTCGATTTGGACAACGTGGCAGTGTCTAAATGATTATGCTCCCTTCGAGTTACAAGACGGCCGTACACGAAAAGGGTGCCACAGCTGAATGATTACCCTGGAAAACTGCAAAAGTTACCAATGATCCCATGAAGACGCGCCAAAATTCTTATATCGCTCAGCTTTTTTAGTTTGAACAGGCCTAGTCGCTTTTTGGTTCATTGTTTTTAGCCCACTAGAGAGAGAGTTGGATTTGTTAGTCAAAGGGGGCGAGATGACCTAAGTGGTTAGAGCGCGAATTTACTGACCGGAAGGTCCGTGGTTCGAATCCGACCTCCGCCTCTCGACTTTCCCTGTCTAGGCTTGGGCAGCCTGGCATTATCCCAGCCCTCGAGCTTCCTTCGGGTGGCATGGCAGCTAGGCACCGGAATGGTGCTACAGCTGAACGCTTGTTAGTCAAAACAGCGTAAAACAACTTCAGTTTCTACTTGGTAAAGTTGTTGGTCAAGTGCGTAATCAAACAGAACCCCCATTGCCATGGAAGTTGAACTTTATTCGAATCATCCCGGTGGTAAAGACGAAACGGCTGTTCGTTGGTTCACGGTTTTCCAACATGGAGATTTGCTTGCAGGACGAAATCCACAAAACCTTGCAATCACTTATCCCGGGACGGTAATCAATAAACCATTGGCACAAATATATTGTCAGGCCACCTACTGAAAGCAGAAAAACCAAATGACCTTTGTTCACAACCTGATAAGCAGTAAGAGGAAACGAGCGTTGCTCATATGCCCAGTATACACCCACAAATGTTGTGACAAAGGAAGGGGAAGAATTCCGCCAGTCCCGAAAATGCTTATCTCTGTCAAGCCATCTCTTAGAAGCGATAGAGCTACCGAAACGATCATATGAAAACTAAACCTTTCCTCATAGGGCACTTTGTACCCCATAGCTTGGGATTCACTTCAGTGGTGACCACTTGATCAAGACCAACATCAAGGATAGGCTACACTATTTTTTTACCTATTTCTTTCGTTCGTGAATGCGGAGCCAAGTACGTGGGTCGCACGGCTAGGTGACTGTCTCAGAGAATGACTGAGCATGTCAGTGCGCAATGCATCACGCAAAATGAAAAAGGTGACAGGCGAAAACGCAGCTCATTTAGTCGATACGGATCATTTTGACAATCCGGCCGAATCGCTCAACGTGATTTGTAGAGGACCACGCAGTTGAACCAAGGTCATCCGTAAAAATGCACCCGCAACGCCAGAAATGTTGATGCCGCCTTGATCAACCAGTTCCCAAATATCTGATATAATTAGTTGTAAGCGATTGTGGGACTTGTAGGATTCGTGCTTACATCACTCCCGTTTGAACAGTCCTCCTCATTTCCTGGCGCAATTATTCTGGTGGGTCCAGACCAAACGGGGGAAGCAATGGACTTGAGTTTCGCTCTTGTTAGTACTTCAAATCCTTGGTCGTGCCGTGGTTTGAACTCTGGACATTCGACATGCGAGGCGAGCGTGTTACCACTACCTTATCGGCGCATGCTGAACGTACCTGAGTTGTTACCCATGAACGGGCGAACTTGTTCACCAAGACGGGCTCTAGTAAAAACTAAGCTCGAGTCCAGTGTTACCCTCCAATCGCTCCAGGAGAGAAGGACTCTTCAGACGCGACTGGTGTGAATGCGAATCATGCAACTACCTACAACTAGTCGGAAAGTTGTCTGAATTGTCTGTGGCGCTACCTACCTGGGAAGTAACGATAGGTGGGCTAATCGATTGACACAACCAGGACAATTACTAGATCGTAGTTCGAGACGCCGGACAAACTAATCACATCGTTCCAGCGTGAACACGTTTGCCTGTTCAGATGTGATAATTCGGGCGCATCCAGTGTGCGCTATTGAAATTGTTCAAGCGCCACCGAGCTGCATGTCCTGACTAACTCCCAGTCACTCCATTCAAAGGTGGAGTTAAAATCCTCAGTCTATGCTTGTCTAACTTATCTGCAAAAGAGACCGTCCCAACTAACAGGGCTGAGTCGATAATGGTGCTCAATTTCAAAAAAAGATGCTCGCAGTGAGTGTAGCAATCACAGATGAATTAGTTTGACCTCGATTGCAACCAGATTTTCCGCATTGCTTTTTATTCATCATCTTACAAGGGTGCCTGAAGTCAGGACCCGAGAACAGCAAGCAGGATTTTGGCCGCGAAGGGGCTGTGTGGGGTGCATATTAAAACTCCGTCATGTGTTAAAGCAACGGCGTGTGTGTGGGAGCATTACAATCCTGGTGCGTTCGACTCTGCTGACCGGTTCGCCTTTTTAACACGATTGTGCGAAATAGTATACCCCAGAGTTCTTGAGCATCATGTGTGTATCACCATACTTGAGGGTTCGTGAAAGTGTATGAGGTGATCTCCAAGGACTATCCGATATCCGATAAGGGTGTGCGCTTTCTCCATTTTTGTTTAAGTTCGTCATTGATGAGGTAGCGAGGCGCACCCTGGGAAACAACCTAAATTCCGGTATTCAGAACTCACCAAGCGATGCCTTTGAGGATCTGGAATATGCAAACGATGTTGTGCTCAAGTTTGAAAAAAGAGCAGGAAGTTGGTAGGATAGCTGGTCGAGGTCATCTAAACCTTCTACATATGTTTCGCGCCTGCAGTGCAGCGCAGTGTGCGCGCCGCCTTGCAGCGGGAGGTAAAGCATGTCTCCAAGAGTTCAAGGAATGACACTGGACATTTTAGGACGCTATAGGCGTCTCGGAAGTTGCATTAGTTCTGACAGTAGTGTACAGTAAACGCACGAATCTCGAAAATCAGAGTTGTGGTATAAAAATGAATATCGCAGAATGTCAAAGGACGCGAATGTGTGTTGCTGTGCAGTTGCCAGGCATGACCACTTCGGGCAGAGGAACTGAAACCTAGTCAATTATTGGCCCACTTTTGTCTCGGAATGGGATGACTGAAAACGGCGAATTCTGAATGAAGTGATCAGGAGAGAAGGTTTTTTTAAGTATGAGGTACTTCACTCAAAGGATGCATCTAGCACTGAAAGTAAAGTTGGCTGGGTCAAGTATTACGAATTTCGAATTACTGTCTGCAAGGAAAGCGTTCTATTTCGTGCCTAATTTGGAGTGCCGAAAATCAGTGGTGTTTGACATGGAAAAAGAGAATGAAGGATGCTACAAAAAGTCTGAGTAGTGTTCGCACTTCAGGATGGAGTTCAAGTGACCCTCTCTGTGTTTGACTGAATTTAATGACCGCCGTGGCAGCCAATCGATACCAGTGGGGTTCATGCCATCAGCTTCTGTCCAGATTGCCTTAATGAATGCAGGATATGTTGACACCTCGAATGTTTGTGGTAAGCTAGCCCTAGGTCCCCCCTCTGCCCCATATTTTATGGTGTGGTTGTACAACCGTGAAGCACTAGTTTTCTCATCCAGTGCTGCCGTCAATGACGATGAATTTGTTGTCGCACCTAATTTACCCTACTGCGGCCAATACTTACCGTAGCACAGGGCTGTGTCGCGGAATAGGATTTCCACACTCAATCTGCGGCAACAGCATCTACGCAGCTTCTAACCAGGATGGACCAAAAGTCTCTTTGGAGTGTAATATGACGACATTTTAATTCGGTTGCACGTTGAACCCCTGTCTATCGACCAGACGTGAGCGTATCGATCACCATCATTTAACTCAATCCGCTTGGCACGACTACCTACCGGGGTGTGGTCATCGTGATACACAAAAAAATCTACTCGAAAATACAGGGTACAAATGAACGAATGGAGAAGAATAAAAACTGACGAGTTGCCCATGGAGCAGAAGCCTTCTAACCATCTTATACCCATGGAGGCAGCGATCACCAAACAACTCGATTCAGCCCACAAATAGGATTACCTGGACGCATGGCGCAATGGTGACATGGGAGTGGACACCACAAATGAAATAAGGGCACCAGGGGTTGATGCGGTCCAGAGTAGACTTAGAACGTATACAAGGTACTCCAGTCCTTCTCACGCAAAAAACATGTCATTTACACACAACATCTAGGCTTGATTACATAAGCACTTAGGGCGCTTCTTAGCATGAACGGTAGTATTCCGAAAATGTGTGAATTCAGTTTGTACATGATAATTAAATCATCCGTCAGTTATATTGTTTAAGTCTACCTCAATACTGTAGCTTTGATTCCTACTCAGGAAAATGTCGCAACTCCTTGCCGCTGCTGACCCAAGCGATATGCTGTCCAGTCTGAACTCGGGTGAACAGCTCAAATTAGAACGCTAGAAATTTCAACATTGCCATTAAGAGCAGTCATCCATTGGTCAATTCTGATTGGATATTCACAACTCCTCCAACACCATGTTATGTGCTATTAGATTAGGCTAATCTAAGTGCAAACCCAAGTCTAATTCAAGATAATTGACGCCTTTTATCATTCGGCACGGACACGGATAGCTGAACTGCATAATTCTTAATGACCCATGCAGAAATGTTCTGAACTCTAAAACACAACCATAATTCGTCCAAGGGGTCCATCCACGACGGAAAATTGTCTCGGTTAAGTACAAACTTGTTCTTACGCTCTACGCGCTTATTAATGGGCTTAGATCAAGTAGAGATTACCTTGACGGCTGACAATCAGGGGGGAAAAACAACCATATCATTGGCTGGGCCGGGCAGATTTCACTCTCAAGTAAACAAAAGAAAGTCGTCGTAGGAACAGCTAGTGAAAACTACATGTTTATAAGTGTGATCAGACAGTATATTCCAAGCGGTGAGAAATCATCCGACATTATTCCTGGCTAGAATGAATTCCCTTTTCTCTACCACTGCCGCTGAGACTGACCGGATTATAATTTTCTTTCATTCACGATTCTACAAGATATGACCTTCCGCTCATTTGGCTCTATTTGGTGCGAATTCCTCAAGTTTGTGTGTATCGAAAGCAAACGACCTTGGAGTACTTGCTCACCACTCTTTTGTAATCGAGGTACTTGTTATCTGGTTATCTAAGACCCTCACCAACAATCGACTAATTTCGCTGTACAGGTTTTACGTTAAAACATTGACCATCTCGAAACCCTACCAAAACGGACTGGCCTGGAAATTATACCGCAAAATTGACGACCAGGTAAAGTTCTTTGCAGTGCATCAAACGATCGTCGCAGCGTCGTCCTAGGCACAAGCGACTTCTCCGTCCACGAGCGATAACCAAGATTGCCGTGCTTTCTTTCAGTGAATAACAAATTGTACCGCGAATATTGAAAACGTAATTCACGACGAATACTTGTAACGATCAAGAACGCTGTAGTCAAGACCAGGGAGTGGATTTGTTGAAAATCGCCAGCATCGTTGACAGGAAGTGCAGCTTGCGGTGAGGAATCGCTTAGCTCGAAGATGTGGCTCCAAGAGCGCTTTACACTCCCTCATAAGGCAACACGATTGTCTGAGAGCTATTCCAAAATCTCATTTCAGTGGACCTGCTGCAATCAGGGATAGATATTGAAAAGTTGAGTGTTCCGGGCCGAAAAATAAGGCAACAAATCAATTGAACTGTGTACCGTTTGTGGGGTTCCACATACCTCACCCTGAAAAAAATATGGGTAACCTACCAAACACTGTAAACAAATCAAACAAGATTCAGTCACATTACCGTTTGCCATAGTGGGAGGTGTAGCACTTACTCGTTACGAACAAACGCCTCTTCTACCGTTGATCGCTGGATGCCAGGCACTTTCTTCAGCAATCGATCGATGATACGACGGACAACCGGTGCATCCAAAGACTGAAAATGAAAGTAAACAGCCCAGGATAACACTAACACTCCGGACATTCCGGTCGGAACGACATTTTGACGTGTTTCAGTACTACTTATAACGGTGCTGAAAATTGGACGGACTACCCTGAAGATCCACGTTTTTATGTAGGCGATCACGAGCGGCGCCTAACACTGCAATCATCTGGTGTCACCGACTAGTCCGAATTTCACCCATTGAAACGCACTGAAAACAGCTCGCTCTATAATCAAAGGGAGTATCTGAGGCGACTGGCCTTATCCAATCACCCTTTTTAACTGAGAGTCCAAGACTTAGTTGAGTGCCAACATTCCCAATTGTAACCAATAATGCCAAACTTCCTAGCGTCTCAGCCGTGTAAATATACTTGCCAGATGAGACTTTTTCGAAAGCATTGCATAAAATCGTCATCGTTCAGCTGTAGCACTCTTTCGGTGTCTGACTTCCATGCTACCCGAAGAAAACACGAGGGCTGGGATACATCTAGGTTACCCAAGCCTACACAGGAGAAGTCGAGATGTAGATGTCATGTTCTTCTGGTCAGTAAATTCGCGCTCTAATCACTGAGCCATCTCGCTCCGTTTGAAATCAGGAGATAGCAGTTAGAGTTACGGTCGATCCTTGCAGATACAGTGCCGAAATCGCCAACAGTTGTCGCACGTGGCTTTGGGTATCTTCCGGAAATTCTAACCGGGAGGGAACTCGCGCCTCGTTTAGATCTAACTAACAGGGACAGTTTTGTCGAAATGAAATGACGGTTAGATCACTTCCACAGACAAAAGCATTTCCTCAGCAAAAAGGTCAAATACACAATAGGTAAGAAATAAAAAGAAACATCAATCAGAAATGCAGAACCCCCAATTTCTAACTTATCGTACAGTTCATCGACCGCATACATGGTCGCAGACGATGCTATATCTGACTCGGCATTTCCACAGAGCCTCATATGATTTCCTAATGGATCAGGTCTTGATGTCATTTAATTGAGATCGCAAAAACAAAGGAATTGACCAACTGTAGGGAACTGAAATGTGGTCTACCACCTATCAGTGGAAGCTCTGCCAGCTAACGAAGAGCTTTCAATGTGAATTTATTGTCCACTAGTGATCAACAGCAGTCTGTGATACCTTCCGTGAAAAATACGGCGGATCGAGAATATCTTGCGTTTTCCTTTGTTTGCACTACATGTTTGTTCTGAAAAAAAAAGACGAATGGGTGATTTGTTGGGAAGTACTACCGCAACTGCTAGGGTGGGGAGGGGTACTTACAGAACGAAAATCTTGCACGGAGCGATACAGCGCTTCGTCTTGTTGCACTATTGCGGAAAAATGGTCTCCGCGGTCAACATATGGAGAATGTCGTCCTGCAACAGAACAAAAGTGAAAATTCACTCCGATAAACTGATCTATCTATCGAATGCAGTCCCAGTGTACTGAGGTTTACAACATATAGTATAGACCTAACCGGAGGTACACATCAAACTAGGCTATCAAGGCAACGAAACAAGTGAGCTTAAGAAGTTTACACGATAAAGTCGTCACAAGTGTGGGCTCTACTATGAGTCTACCAGCGTAACCGGGCCAGTGTTTTCCTGAAACTATGATCACGCAGTTGTCCGTTTACCCAATGAATAAAGTAGTCGTCTTCGGTGAAATAACCACCCCTTTCATAAAAGATGACTTCCAACCTAGTGGGACTACGGTGGGGTGCTTTTGGAATGTAGTGGTGTGAACAAATGAAGGACTAAGGTGGAACATCTCACTGTACCGAGCCCGATTAGGTTTGAATGTTTGGAAAAGACTCGCCATCAGCCGGTTGACACAATCAAACAAACCTTCCGAATTTACGTCGAGTTTACACTTGGGGAGCATACGTATGATCATGATCCGAATTCCTCAAGATCGCTCCTTCCAAGAAGGTTGTCACGTATGAATTGACCAGAATCATGCACTTCAGATTGATCAGGAATTAATAAGGCCAGTCCGATACGCCACTCACCTGCTTTTGCTTTCTACCAGTCGGCTTACGCTGGACGCTGAACCACCTCTCTCCGTGTCTTCCGTGTCGTGAAACGACACTGACAGAAAAGTTGGATCCTACATAGGGCATGTATTACCAACTGCGAGGCAATCGACGAACAAGGGTTCAATTATACTATCGTGAATACAGCTGGATATAACCCAACAAAAATGTGATCCAAGCATATGTTATTCCCACGTTCCAATGTGTTGGTATAGTGTGTATGCTGTAGCTTTTTTTGGCAACTCAGGTGTTGGTTATATTTAGGACGGCTGACAGTTATTCAGAGAAACGGTGTGCACGAACTGTTGTACAAACCGCAATTCAATATACACTGTGCGCAAGCGACCGCAAGTTTACATTGCAAAATGGCTTGTGCGCTGTACACGATACTCAGTAGTGATGACCTATTCATTCCGTCAATTCCTATCTGTCACTACCGTCTGGCTTACGCGTCCGAACTCGCTTGGTTTTTAGCGAATATACACTCATTTGCAAACTAATTTGTTTTTTTAAAAAAAACATCCTAGTTCACAAAACGCATCCGTTCCCGCACGCTCTACACAGGTCATCCCATCCTTGTCAAACATTATCGTCAGGTTTGATTGTATTGAGCGTTTGATTTTCTAAAGGTTTCTTCGGAGTAATTTCCAAACTGTTGTCTATGGACAGCTGACTTAAATTAAAAGTGACTAAAATTAAACTGAAATTTAGGATTCATTCCAATGGGACCGATGGCGGTTGTCCGGAATGGCATAGACGCCATAATCCAAGTTAAACACAATGCTGATTTCAAAACCGGAGTATGTCAATGAGGTGTAACTGGCGGCAGTTGATAAGGGAAACCTGTTTGATCAGCTTTTCACATTCTATCGACATCTTCGTGCAGCAAAGCACGAATTTCAGCAGTCCACTGCCGACCTACACACAGTAAGTGAAAGGACTAGAGGTCAACATACAATACGTCATTTTAGAATTGGTAACCGGTAGGTGTTCTAAACAAGAACTAACTACAGTACACCGAACGTGGTACGATCGGTAAAGTTAACTTTTGTCTCCAGCTGTCCTACGGTCAGTGTCCATGGACTTTTCGGTCAGGAGTTTCTGGCACAGCACAATCCATGCCGAAATCGACTCTACGGAAGATTTACGATAGATCCACGTCGTTCACTCCCTACAAACGCAACACGTGGGTTAAACTCGGAGTAATCTGAGACGTCCCTCGAGGCTTGAAATAACGACCCAAACATAAGGTACAAAATCGCTTTTACAGTGCAGGCAAAAAGTCCGGATGAAAGAAGTAGTTTCAAACATCAGTCCACCTAACCAAACAAAAAAACACTCACTCACAATGTGGAATACTGGGTTATCACAGGACAACTCACCTCTGCCTCGGCGAGAAGGCAATCTGAGAGAGGATGGGTGGGAAATGTGGTCAGGTGATCTGCGTGGAACAGCAGTTGTTTGTCCGTTCAGTACTCCCAAATAGCGCATAAAACTTTGATAGATTGCACGCACTAGTTCGGGTTCAGGAGACCATTCGTCGAAAAGGAAATCAGGTACGGCTTCTGGAGCTGAATGAGGGGTGTGTAACGCAAAGGAAAAGAGGGTGGGGAGAAATTCCAAATCTGTGGAGTCGAACTGGTATGAGCAAAATAATTGCATGACGAACTCAATATGAAGGGCGTGAGATTTTGTGTCAGTCTGGTTTCCGAGAACAGGAAGCTTTCGGACACTCGGGACTGCCCTACAGTCACAAGTAAGTGTACCAACAGATCCATATAAGAGCCCAGGAGGGAATATTTAACCTCTGGAGAAAAGTAGCCTCACTAATCTGGAAGGGACTGATTCAGACTCTTCGGATACTTGTCCTCCAGGTTATTGGTTGGGTTAGTTTGACTCTATTGAACAAAAACGCAAGTAGTTTGCAGGATATAAACAGTCTGTATGCAACGGATCATCCCAATGACGCGTGAACAGAGACTGGAAGCCAAACCAGATGGTGTAGAGTAGAAACACAAGAAGTACCAAAAAATGAGCGGTGGTGCGATCTCGGGGGACACTGTGAGCTACTTGAAAAACTCCATATTTGCATCTTGACCATAGTTCCACTTTGGTTAAATTTGGTCATCTGAGTATGGATTAAGCTATTCTAAGGAGCTGAATAAAAGAGTAATCAAGTGAATGGAAGCGTAATTGTCGACAAGAATGGACGAGAATTTTTTCTTCTCTTAGGCAATCGCCAACCCGGAATGTCACTGCGTACCCGAAATTGCTGGATACAGGACTCGCTCCGGCGACTTCAGCATGTTCCGTTCTATTGTGTCCAAACATTCGAACAAACCTGCATATCATTAGTTGTATGTCATTGAGATCCAACCTAACTTCACGCTTCTGGCAGCCTATTTCGACAACCCCGTGTCTTACCTTTCTTGCTTCCAACGGCTACGGACACCAAACAAGGTAATTAGAGATCCAGCCAGCCTGAGAAACAAACAAAAATGAATTCAAAAGCTGCCGAAATACACGCTTATTCAGAAACGACACAATCAATATTGGCATGTGGCAATGATGGAATTTATAGCGCGGAACAATGAGCGACTTACAAAGTTCTACGGCTGTCAGTCCGGAAGAGTATGAATACAGCTCATGTGCTTCTTTTATAAACTCCCGAGAAATACGTATCCCTTTTGTTTCTTCTTGAGCTTGTGGCTCATCGGTAGCGGTTTCTTCATTCGGACCACACACTGTAGCCGCCAACGGTACTTCAACGGTTACCGGTCTTACTGACACCTCTTCTGCTTGCGTACAAACGCTTTTAGTTGGATCGATACCTAGATGACTGGTAGATGCCGCTTCATGTGTTGTATCCTCATCGTCCGCGTCTGACGAGGATAATGAATTTTCTTCATCCCTTGTCGAATTTATTTCATTGGCGACTTCCATGCCTTCCAGAATCAGAGACGAGGCCCATTGGACATTCCCATTGGCTAGATGTAAGTATTCTCGCAAACGTGCCCGCGAGATTCTGGGGAACACCACTGCTAGCTGATCGACAGATTCCGGTGGCAAAGAACAGCTAGGCTGTGGAGGATTATCGGGACTTTCGTCAGCTGGACTTCCTGAAAGCAAAAATGTGACAGGCTTTCAGTACCATGTAAACCAATAGGTAAATGGACTTTGCACGGAGTAAGACACGAAAAGAGTATTGTGAACCAGGCGACAGAAATGTGGACGGAAAGACCAAGTGTAAGACATGTGGTCATGCAGACCGAATAAAAGCAAATTGGTAGCATAAACAAGACGAGATGTGATGCCCATGGATGTGTTTCTTTAAGCGGCGGGGGTAAAAAAAATCAGCACAGTAAATTCGTCTCTCCTAAACACATGCTTCTTATAGTGATGGTTCGTCGTGGCAGTTGCAGTTCTGCACTTGCGAATTTTCAACACAAAACCACATGCCCGTTCAGGGACTGGCCTTTAACTGAGTCCTGAGTTCACGCTTCTGCGTGAGTTCTGAAATATGCCAATTCCGCAGGCCGGGGTTTCTTTCGAACCACCCATCCTCCTGTGAATATCACTGTTAGCTTGAGTAGAGAGTGGTATGTAAGGAACCCTCCTTGGAAGGATAGTTTTAGTTCAAAAGCGAAAATAAAAAGTATAAGAGCAAGAATTTATAGCAAAATAATGAACAGCAAAAGAAGGAGCAACTTATTTACACGACAGGGAAGTGAAAACCACCATCGAGTACACAACAGTTATCTGAACAACTAACAATGTGAATGACTAAAACATCAAGCATTTCCACATCAAAATAGCAAACACCATGACCATTGGTCGAAATAAATGTTCGTAACTTTAAGGGAATAAAGCATGTCAGCATGAATAAGACTGTTATCTAAAATGTCCACAGAATGGAATCGGAATAGTGTAAAAACACTGTAACTGACATATCTGAATTGGCAAACCGAACGAGCCTAAAAGGCGATAAACTGAAAGATCGAGTGAGAATAATTCATCGAACTGTTGATAGCACTGCTCAACTGTAAGTCGAACAAAGAGAGCTAGAGGGCAGAAGGAGCACTAGTTACGTTGTGGTCGAAGTCAGGACTTCAGTTACACATCTAAAAGAGTGTTCAAAGCAAAACCACGTTCGTTCACATACGAAACCGTTTAAGATTGAGCGACTCAAGTTAGGATCCTTCAAATCATGTAGTGTTCAATCCATATTGTTACAGCGTCAGACTGTCCACGCTATCTGTACACGTGCGGCCATCGCCGGATACAACCTGCTACTTGCGGCTGAAGAGCCTCAAGGTGCATGGAACGCGTCTCACAGTGTCAAAGTTTTGTGGATTCAAATCACACAGCCGTTGTTTCCCATACTGGTCAATTTGTTAGGATGAAGCTTGGTCAGATGTAATTTACGGCAGCTCGCTACTCGAGCTCAAACGGGATTGCAGTAATAATAAAGGATAGATGTATTTTTGTCGAACCAAAAGCATCTTCGAGGTTGCAAAACGAAGCTCACCAGTCCAGCCAAAATCAGTCACTGGAAAACAATAACTGAAGAGGATCCTTACTGTGAAAAAAACAGGGTTAGCAACGAAGTTTGTGAGAGTTTATCACACAGGTGACTTCAGCGCACGGGCTAAAAATCTCCACAGTGTTACTTCATCAAAATACTTGATTTTACTCTCTAAGTTGAACTTGCTAATCACCAGTTTCTATCGCAATTACTTGAGTTAAGCAGCGCAACAACCAATACCGACTCACCTACATTGGCTTCAGTTGTTTCAATTTTGACAGATGAGCCTGAATCGGATGATGAGTCTCTGAAACGATGTTAGGTAGCGAGGTAGTCCTTCAGTCTATGATCGCGGTTTACAAATTTTCAGCAAGAAAACGCAAGCTAATCCGAGTATGAAACTGGACGGACAGAATAGGTGACGAAACACAGGAGTAAACGGCAGCAGGAAATAAATGGAGATTTCCGGGAAAAGTGTGGCGACAATGTGTAGCGGGCAAAATTGTATTTGACTATGTCTCCTCACTCTCAAGTAATTGCTTCCATAACAGACTAATCACGGCGTATGGAGCAATGACCCAATGCGTGGGAAGGCAAAGCTAATTAAGGAATGACAATGAACGAGAGATCTACATAGTAATCTTGAGGAAGTTTCATTATACTAAAACTGTGGACAGATCAACCAGATGTCACTATGACTGCAGGAAATTGTAGAGCAATGAAGTTGCCACAGCAATGTGTTTTCCGCAAATTTTGGGAAAGGCCGCCGGACAAGCTAACTTGTAGTGTTATTTCCTGCCGTGACTGGGCGCACACAAGATTGGAACAGCCGGCTTACGACAGCTTCGACAGTTCTCAAGATCTCGCGCTCTCGTGCCTGGAGGGCATCCAATATTTGCATTTCGCGGTTTGCTGATATGCAACGATGGCACTGAAAATGGATATTACGAAATCACTAATGACGGCATGTAACATCTGACAGTTACCCTATCTTGAAATATGACAGCATATGAACGCCAGTATACGACAAACCTCAAATTTCTCCGTTCCTGAAGAATTTATTTCGCACTAAAAGGTTATACTGATCACGGCCCCTGACAGACCACTTTTTGCTTGTGTCCTGACTAATGACATGTTCAACGAACACCGAAAGCTAGAGTGCTAAAAACGCTGAGATTGTTTCTAGAGGTCATTCGAGTCGATACTAATGGATGCTCCTTGAGCTGAGAAAAACTGCCGTGGAGAAAGAAAAGAAAAAAACCATGCCTGAAAATTTTGAAAAACTGAATGAAATAGAGCCTGTCTCTTGAATGAAGTAGAGGATAAAATGCTTTCCTAAACTGAGCCATTATTGTGTGCAAGAACGAACAGAGGTACTCAATAAGCACTAAGAGTATCGATGAGGTGCGTCCGTAATGCGTTTGTGATGCAATAGATGATCATTCATAGGTCGGCCATCCATTCAGAACAACAGGAGAGTGATAATTTGCTAACATCTATGCTTTAATATCATGGATGGATATTGAGTCTTCGTGTTTATCAGATACGCTCCTGAAATGTTAAGTGTGATAGGAATTATTCGCCTTTGAAGTCGGAAATTAACGCATGGTGTGCAAGTGCAACAGGCTGGAGGATATGTACAAGCCCTGAATTGGTAGCAGTTCGAGGCAAGCGAATGTTTCAGTCATCGCGACCGTGGTGCCCCACCGCACACTATCTAGTAGGAGCTAGGATCTCAAGATAGATCGAACATGCATCCATTACAACTACTGTGGGACAGATCAGTGTGAATTCACGGACACAAAAGCCCGTGGATCAGACTTAGCTCCGCCATCTCGACAACTCCTGTCAAGGCTTGTGTAACCTGAAGATATCTCAGCGCTTGTGCTTCCTTCGGGTGGCTTTGCAGCTAGCCATCGAAAGGGTGTTACAGCAGGAAGATTATTATATTGCTACTCTTACAGTGGATAAGGAGAGGCATCTCCAAATCACAGTAAAATATACTTTTGGAAAATATTTTAACAAAGAGATTGTGTTCTCATATCTTCTTTCGACAATTAGTCATACCAAGATAGCACTTCCACATTGTTCATTGCGTGACCAATGAATGTGGGTGACACTGCACCGGGAAACTTTGGAGGAAAAAGTTGATCTTGACTAGTTTAGCACGTAAGGATCAAGCATCCCCAGTAACACACAGGTTTTAGCGACCGAAAAATCCAGGAAACATAACTGGAGGTCCATTCTGGGTCCAGTCTGTGAATTTAACCTTATTGTTGACCCATCGTTCGCAATAACGACTGTGAACTCGGAAGACACCCCACTTGTTTCACAGATAGTCGCAGTCAGGCACAACCCCGTAGGTTGATAACTTGCAATCGATTTGCAGGCATAGACCTACTACTGACAGAGGAACTTCAGGTGAACTATGAATTGCACAAATTTGCTACAAATTTTAAAAAGGGGCCTCTGCAGAACCTTACTAAAGCACACGATGGGAAGTGCAATGAACAGAGCACGAACATATCGGTCGCTATGACAAAAGTAGGTACTCTCGAATAATTCTGATTCTCTCAATGACTGGCTCGACAGTTCTGGAGGACTGTTCGAGCCTAAAACTGCTGATAATGAAGGGGCATTTTTAAGCCTCTTTTCTCATGATGCGAATTTGATCATTATGCCTGTTCATCTTTAAGAAATGTCGTTAGTATCAAGTAATTTGTCTAACATAGTTGGTGGATGTAATAACTGTGAGATCACAAAAGACAGACGAATCGAGTATGTTCCAATAGATCAACCGGACGAAGTCGTCGCATTCATACTTCAGCCAGCGTCAGTGGAACCAAAATCCTACCCAAACCGTTCAAACCTGAGGACATTGGATTGAATACAGGATTTCGTTGCGTTCATTAAACAATTTTCTGCCCAATGTGAGTTCAGCGGGGGCAGGAAAAGTCCAAAATTCCAGTCTTTCTCGAAACTATCAGACTCTCTGGTCGAAACTTGGGCGATTGGAATTTAGGACAGAGAGTATTCAGTGAAGCCGAATCTGCGCAGTCCGCCAAACCAACGTTGAGTTGGATATGCACAATTAGAAACAATAGAACCCCATTAGAGCCCGTTCGAAAACAGCCAAACACTTACTTGAGAGAGGAACAACCTTCAAACGAATTAAAGAAAAGGGGACTCGAATTGCAAAATATATATGTACAAATAAGGCGCTCCTCGGAACTACAAGAACCATGTAGTCACCTGCCGAAATCGGAGTTCGAATGAGGATTTCGAAAATAAAAATTCATTTGTGACGTCTCTCCTAGTCTCTTCTAGTATCACTGATAGAATCTTTCGTGCATATACTAATTACTAAGTCCTGGTATTTAGATGCTAAAAGTACAACGACTTGATACTGCGCGAATGCATGGTGACTAGGGGCACTGACAACGGAGTACTGTTCGGGCCCTAGTCATCACATCATGTCGTTGTGATTGCACGCAGACGCGTGGATAAGCTCACAAGGCTTGTAGAAAAATATCGATTAGTGACGAGGTGCAGTCAGTTGTGTTGTCTGGATGAGTCTACCCGATCCGGATAGTTAGCATTGCTAGATCCGGACTCCACTCGATTGCACGAATGTGTCGCACAATTCTGATCACACTAAAAAAAAGAAGGCCCGGAGCTGACATATTCGAAGGACCGGTGCGTAAGTGATTCACACTTATCTGACCAATGATAACAAGTTATGAATTCGCCAGAGTGACTGCCTTGGATCAGAAATCTGGGACCAGAAGGACCCTTCAAGACACCAAACATGCGTCCAAAAAGAATACGATCTAATCGCATGAATCTCATCTTCTATCTCAACAGGGCCTGAACCTCAGCTACTGATGCAGACTTGAGAAGAATAAACCGCAGCTCGTCTTTTCAAATAGACATTGTAAATGCGCAATATTTCTGCCGAACATTAATTGAAATCGAGTAGGTTGGGCATACAGAACGAGCTAGTGGATCATGTCCAGTGTCGATGAAATGAGTACATTCATTACCAACACTAAAAGCTGCGTTGGTTGGGACATGTGCTGCGTCCATCGTTTGCCGAAGAGAGTGTTGTTCTATGCCCAACTCAGAGTGGCGTAAACAGAGAGGTGGCCAACCCTTGACTTGGCAGAGGAGCATGAAGGAGATCAGGAAACGCTTGGGTGCTGTCGGTGCTACAAGCCTTCCAGGGTGGGGACCGCGTGATCCCCACTGCGCTTGATTAGAGACACTACAAGATATGGCTGCCAACCGATGTCAGTGGCGTTCTTGTTGTCAGTTTCTATCCAGATTGCC